GATGGTTCTAAGAAAGCTGACGCTTCAGGGAAACCAAAGTTCAGAGTAGTAATAGACTACAGAAGTTTAAATTAATTTAATATCCCAACTTTGATAAAACATTTTCCTTAACTACAGATGCTTGCAACATAGCTATAGGAGCAGTTCTATCACAAAACCATAAACCAATATGTTATGCTAGCCGAACATTAAATGAACATGAAATTAATTATTCAACAATAGAAAAGGAACTTTTAGCAATTGTATGTATGGGCCACGAAATATTTCAGATCATATCTTTACGTCAGAACTTTTGAGATCTTAAGTGATCATAAACCTTTAGTTTGGTTAAACAATATCAAGGAACCAAATATGAAATTACAAAGATGGAAGATTAAATTAAATGAATTCGATTATCAGATAAAATATTTACCAGGAAAAGAAAATTATGTTGCCGACGCACTATCAAGGATTAAAATAGAAGAAAATATGTTCGAAGACATCCCCGAAGAAAATTTATTAGGAGAAGCTGCAAATAGCATAGATGCAACGGTGCAAAGCGCAAATGAAGATAATCAGAATTACATTGCAATCACAGAAAAACCAATCAACTATTATTCTCGATAGATCGAATTTATTAAGGGAAATGAAGAAATTAGAGATGTACAACATTATTTTCATAAACTAAAAATCAAAATAACTTACATAAACATGTCAAACACCTTCGCAAAAGATATCATCAAGGAAAATTTCATTATGATTCAGATTTTCTCATATTCAAACAAGCATATCTAGAAATAATCAATCCAAATTATTTAACAAAAGTAGTAAGATGCACCAAAAAGTTAGAAGATATCCTCACTTTTGCAGAATTTAAAGAAAAAATATTAAATAGACATAAAGACTTATTATATCCGGGAATTGAGAAAACAGCTAATTGGTTTAGAGACGAATATTATTTCTCTGACTATCAAAAATTAATACAAAACATAATTAACGAGTGTGAAATCTGTTACATCGCAAAAACAGAACATAGGAACACGAATTTATCACACCAGAAATACAAAATATAAGAAAAAAAACTGTCATAGATTTCTATATAGTAGGAAACCAACAATTCTTGTCCTGTATCGATATTTACTCCAAGTTCGCCACTCTCATAGAAGTCACAAGTAAGGATTGGTTAGAAGCTAAAAGAGCTATAATAAGGGTATTTAATGAAATGGGAAAACCACAAGAAATTAAGGCAGATAAAGATTCAGCATTTATGTGTGTAGCCTTACACAATTGGTTAAATTCAGAAGGAGTACAAATTCGAGTAATTACGAGCAAAAATGGTATATCTGATATAGAAAGTTTCCATAAAACAGTAAACGAAAAATTTAGAATAATAGGAAACGAAACAGGCATAGAAAACAGGTATACTAAGTTCGAATTAATTCTTTACATTTACAACCACAAAACTAAACATAATGTGATGAATAGAATACCAGCTGACATATTCATGTATTCAGGAAGTCCCGAATATAATACACAAGAAAGAAAAACGAAAAAGATTGACAGGCTGAATGAGAAACGACATGATTTTGAAATAGACACAAGATTTAGACAATCACCATTAGTAAAATCGAAAACTACAAACCCTAAAAACAGGAAATTTTAGGAAAATAGACGATAAACATTTTGAAGAAACTAATAGAGGTAGAAAGATAACTCATTATAAATCAAAGTTTAAAAAGAAAAAGAAAATTAATAAAAGTAAATACGATAATTCCAGCGAAGCAGAAGGAAACCAAAGAGCACAACAATCTGTTTAAGATTATCACTCTGTCGATAATTTTATTAACTATAACTAAAATGGCAATGGGACAAAACATTGAGATAAATCCGATTAAAGCCCAAAATGGATACCTTGTATTCAAAACCGGGTCAAAAGATATTCCAACCAATTTTGAATATCATTATTTAAGCATTAACATAACCAAAACTGGACAAATATTTCAAAATCTTTTAAAAAAAGCAAATGAATTCAATGAAATTTTACAAATTCGTTATTTAGCAGCACAACTCAAAAGAGAAATAAATGGAATTAAACTAGCCAAACGTAACAAACGAGGTTTATTTAATATTATTGGCACAACTTACAAATATTTATTCGGAACATTAGATCAAGATGATAAGGAGGAGTTAGAGCAGAAAATAAGTAACCTAGCAGAAAATAGCATACAAAACACAGATTTAAATATGATTATTAATGAAATAAATAATGGCATTGAAGTTATTAATAAGTTAAAAGATTAAAAGATTAAGATAATGAAAGGGAACAACAAGCTAGCGTTTTAATATTTAACTTACAACATTTTACGGAATACATAGAGGATATTGAGTTGGGAATGCAGTTGAGTCTTGGTATATTTAATCCAAAATTATTAAAACATGATGATTTAACAAGAATAAGTTCTGAGAAATTGTTGAAAATTAAAACTTCCACTTGGCTAAAAACAGACACAAATAAAATTTTGATAATTTCCCACATTCCCACAGAAATAGTAAAAGCACCAATTTTTGAAATAATTTCGTATCCAGATGATAATAATACCATTCTAACAGAAAATATATTTGATAAGTATTACCTTCATGAAGAAAAAGTATTTAATAAAGAAACAGGAAAAGTGGTATTCGATGACTGTATAAATACACAAAGCATTTATGTGGCCCCGGGAGTTCCGTTAGTGCGAATTACTTCCAGGACGACGTAGTTTTATTATTTTAATGCTTTATTTATTATTATATATTTGATTTAATTACAAACTAAGTGTTGTGTGGTGTTTTAAACTTTAACGAGTTTACAAAGTGGAGTGTGTCTCTGTGGACTGCTTAGCGTGAGATTTCGGCATCAACTGACTTTATTAGAGTTTTTCTCTCTTGATCTGTTAAACGCACGCATACATTAGCGATCTCTCTCTGTGTTGTCAGAACTAACGTCCACTCCGTGTGTTTCTCTGTTCTTGCTCTTCTGGTTTATTCCTGATTCCTACATTCGGCCCTCCTGACGTGGTGTTCGTCCCGAATTCCTTCATAAACTCAGATACTGTGGAAGTTTTCAAAGGTCCTTCGGTCCTTCCCACTTTCTCCACATCATACCTGCCATGCTTGTGAACTTTGACGACCTTATAGGGACCAAGATACTTTCCTTTCAACTTTAAACCCACCCCATACTGAGTACGTTTAATCGCAACTAAGTCATTGACTTTGTATTGCTTTTCCTCTTTCCTTTTTGAATCAAAAGCTCTTCTGTTCTCCTCCTGTAAAGCTTGAATGTTTTCCCTGGCTTGTTTGCGTATCTGTTCACGCTCTTCGTCCAACTCTTCTATCAAAGACTGCTGCACCTGTTCTTTGAGTTCTGCAATGTCAACTACACGCATGTCCACACCTGTTAGCAACTTGAACGGGGTTACCTTTGTGCTCCTAGGCTCGATATTGTTTATTAGCTGCTGTACTCTACCCACATGTTTGTACCAATTTCCTGGATTTTCTAGGCTCATCTTTGACAACATTGGCACCACGATCTTATGCATTCTCTCAACCTGCCCGTTACCTCGAGGTACACCTGTAGCGATCAATAAATGCTGGATCTTCTCTTTCTCGCAGTATTCCTTGAATAAGTGCGATGTGAAAGCTGCACCACGATCTGACACGATCCTGAAGGGATTTCCAAATATTATGGCCTGCCTATCTAAACAGTTTAGCACCTCCTCAACTCCAGTACTACGCGTCGGATACAACCAAACGTATTTCGAAAATGCATCGACAACTACTAAGATATGATTATATCTTTTCTTGGTGATCTCCATCGGCCCTACGTGATCTATGTGATAAGTGACTAAAGGTTTGTCCCCCTTATCGATAGGATTTAGATATCCTTCCTGTTTTCCGGATTTTGCGTTAACCAAGATGCACTCCACACAGCTGCCTACAACTTTAGCTACTTTATCCCTCAACTTTAGAATGAAATAGGATTTCTCCACCAGCTCCTGTGTTTTCTTTGCCGAAAAATGACCTTGCTTATGAGCAATCTGTATAATCTCAGTCTCCATTTGAGATGGAATTACAATCAACTCTCTGTCTGGGTTTTTAAACAATATTTGATTGACGATGTAATAATCCTCATGCCCCTTTGTTTCAACTAGATTCCTGATTACCTTTGTCCACTCGTCTGCCACCTGAGCTTCCTTCAACTTGTGCATTACACTGTCAGTCAACACAAAACAAGCTACTCGACTCAGTGCGTCTACATGCCTCATCTTTGTACCTGATCGATGTTCTATCTCGTAATCGTAGTCTTGCAGATACATTGCCCACCTAGCCACTCGCAACGGAACTTCTTTCTTTTTCATCGTCATGGCGAACGCGTTACAATCCGTGATGATTTTGAACTTCGTTCCCAAAACATAAATTCGCCATTTTGTCAACGCTCCTATGACTGCTAGGACCTCCAACTCGTATGAGTGATATTTTTCTTCACAAGGCTTAGTTTTTCTACTCATGTACATGACAGGGTGTAAATGTCCATCCTCTGGATCCTTTTGTAGAAGAACTGCCCCAAAACCAAACTTCGACGCATCCGTGTGTATTTCTGTAGCCAATCTAGGATTGTACAGTTTTAAAACTGGTTTGTTAGTCAACGCTGTCTTTAATTGCTCGAATGCTACCTGCTGTAACTCCTTGAACTCAAACTTTACATCCTTTCTCAGCAAATCTGACAATGGCTTAGCTATTACTGCGTATCCATCCACAAACTTCCTAAAATATGATGTCAAACCAAGAAATCGTTGTATGGCTTTTTGATTAGACGGCACTGGAAACTTTGCTACGGCCTGTGTTTTCTCATCGCTGGGTGTGATCGAACCATTTTCGATGATATATCCTAGAAAATCTACCCTGCTCTGCAAAATTTGACACTTGGTCCAATTGATTTTCAGCCCGTTCTGTTCTGCGACCTCAAGAACTCTTTGCAGCTTTTATATTCCCTCTACGACATCACTGCTTGGGATTATAATGTCATCCATGTAAACCACTGCGTCACCGTTTTTGATGAGCTCCCTGAGAACTGCCATTATAAAACGCGTAAAAACTGCCGGCGAGTTTGAAATGCCAAACGGCACATACAAGAACTCGTACTGTCCGTTCTGTGTAACAAATGAGGTATACTTTTGGGAGCCTACTTCTACCGGAACATGAAAATAACCGTTGGTCAAATCCAGTGTCGTAAAAATTGTCGCTCCCTGTAACTTCTCAATCACGTTGTCCATCTGTATCATAGGAAAATTGTCCCTCACTATTTTCTCATTCAATTTGCGATAGTCACAACACAATCGCTTCTGGCCATTCTTTTTTGCCACGAGTACGATCGGAGAAGCGTACTCTGAAGTACTGGGCTTGATTATCCTTTGTTCAAGCCACTCCTGAACCTGCTCGTCAACTACCTTTTGTTCACTAAAAGCGATACGTCGAGGATGCTGAAAAACTGGCAAATCATCGCTTAATAAAATCTTCATCTCGACTGGACAATGAACATTCCTAATTGGTTTGTATTCGTCTATCATGCGTTTCACAACACCTCTCTGCGAGTGCGGCAAATGTAAAATGTCTACCTCTAGCTTGCTTTCTGCCTGCTCCATGGTCATCATACACAAACTCTGAAATTCATTCAGCAGCTCTGAGCATGAACTTCCGTTTTTCTCTTTCTCACGAACTTCAAACTTTTGTCCTTTACCGACCCGACTGTCTGATCTTCGAACCAACTCGGTTCCGTCCTTTGTCACTTTCATATCGACACTATCTAGAAGAGTTCTACCTAAAATTGCATCAAATGCCATGTCTTCGTCCGATATAATGTGGAACTCAACGTTGAGATTGATGCCATCAATCTGCACTGGTATTGTCAGGCTTCCAAAAGTCACAATTTGGCTTTCCCCAATTCCTGTCAAACATTTTTCACCTCCTGTTAGGTTTTCTACTCCGAGCCTTATAAAAACGTTGCGTCGCAATAAACACAAGTCTGCTCCTGTATCTACTAATCCTTTGAAGGTTACTTTCCCAAACGAAACATGCTTCAACTCCAATCCCGAAGACGTGAACGTGCTTGTTGGCTTCACTCTGCCTTCCATCTGCACTAGATTAGTTGCCTTTTCCTGTTTAGTTTCTATCTCGACCTTGCACTGGGCTGCTCTATGTCCTGGCTGGTTGCACCTAAAGCACTTGTTGTCTCTCTTTGGACAATCCTTCTTGATGTGAGACTCATCACCACAGTTAAAACATTTCCTAACCTTCTCAACTGCTTTCACTGTCTCCTTTTCACCTTTATAAAAGTGAGAGTCATACTTGACGTGCTTCACCGATCCTCGCATTTTCTGATATGCCTCGATTTGAACTTTCAGCTCCTTTAGCTTCTTGGCTTGATAAAGTAAAGCCTTGTTTCCTTTCGAGTCTGGAATACCGTCGACAAAGTATTCGATCAAGCTTTCATCGTCTAAATCAATTGGCTTCGCCAATTCCATTAACGCGTACAGGTACTCTTGTAACGTTTCGGTTTTCTTTTGTTGTCGCTTGCCAAGTCTACGATGAACCTCTGCCGATGTAACTTTAACCCCAAATTCTTCTAGCAATGCAGCTTTCAGTGAGCCCCAATTGCCAATTTTACGCTGACTACGAACGTAAAGCTTAGCCGCTCCGCTGAGTAATTGTTTTGCATATATAAACACCTGCAACTGACTCCATTCAACCGTAAGTGCACACTCTTCAAGTTCCTCGATCCACTGATTAATGTCAGGTGAACCAGTTCCCGAAAACTGTGACACACTCCCCTCTACATCCTTTAATGTAAACCACGATCTACCTGTGTTCGCATTTCCAATTCGACTGTTCTGTTCGCTTACAATTCGATTTTCCCTGTGCGCACCATTTCCTGCACCTGCACCTGCCTGGTAATTGTCTGAATTCACTGATGTAAAAGATCCATCCTCATCATCATCCACTTCAATCGCAACTTCATCGTTTTCATCAGTTTGCAAACCATAGTGAGCAAGTAGTTTGTTTTGCAATTCGCCTTTTCTTCCGGTTGTACTAAGACCTAGCTCTGACAACTTAGCGCGCAACTCTGCCACAAGCAGTGCCAAAATCTCTTGCTTGTTCATTTTTACTTAAATATAATTATAGAATATAAGGATATAAAATATAGTGCTTATAAAATACAAAAATGTTTATCAAATCCGCCTGCACGGCAAAGTTAAGTTTTTTATATATATACTGGACTTTCAAACTGTAAACTGTACTTTACTTTACTCTAAGTTAATGTGAAATGAATGTCAAACTTAACACTATGTTAACTTAAGCTGTTGACACAACAGTCCGACTGCAGGCACGCAATCTGTTAAATTTCAAATTATTTCCTACTCTCCAATTAGACCAACAAGAGGTCTTTAAAACAAAATTGGTCAGTGCTGCTCTCCACTTCTCTCTTCTGGCACAGCGCCTTCTGCCAGCCAAGTTGCAAAAAAACTTGTCTCGCCTCTCGATGTTATCTCTGTCACTCACCAAATTTCTTCAACCGTTTTCTTTCACCAGCCCAGCAATACAGCTTTGGATTTGTACAGTTGCCTCACCAGAAATGTCTTCTCGCCGTGTCACCAATACAGCTTTGGATTCTTCTCGCTGCCTCACCAGATATGTCTTCCTTCTTTCGCTTTGACCAGCCTCCTGACGCCCGTGTCCTCGCCCTCTCCTGACGCACAACTTCTGCGATCCGCTTGCCACTGTTTCCGCTCCACGCCCTCCACCCTGTCCAGATGACCACCGCCAACGATCCTGCCTCTCGCTTGTTGACGTTCACCACAAAGTCTTTACGCTGCCTCCAGAATGGCACTCGCTGTTCAATCGCCTTCTTTGTCAGTTTCTTGCCTCTTTCATTCGTTGCGCCAAAAACGAATTTCACAACTGCTCGAATGATGCGCAAACCCGCCGTCGCGTTTTCACTCACGCTGCCCTGCTTTGCAAATTTGTTGTCTTTCTTTTTTGCGCAGCACACTTGCTTTAGTTTATAACTGTCTGCAACGACAATTCACAGAGTTTTTTCCACTTTTTTACCACACGACTAAGTTTAGAGACTTAGGTTTTTAACACTCAACTAAGTTTAGTGACTTAGGTTTGTAATAGTTCCAAATATTCCGGCTGAGCGCCCAAATTTGTGGCCCCGGGAGTTCCGTTAGTGCGAATTACTTCCAGGACGACGTAGTTTTATTATTTTAATGCTTTATTTATTATTATATATTTGATTTAATTACAAACTAAGTGTTGTGTGGTGTTTTAAACTTTAACGAGTTTAGAGATTTCGGCATCAACTGACTTTATTAGAGTTTTTCTCTCTTGATCTGTTAAACGCACGCATACATTAGCGATCTCTCTCTGTGTTGTCAGAACTGACGTCCACTCCGTGTGTTTCTCTGTTCTTGCTCTTCTGGTTTATTCCTGATTCCTACATTTATATAAACAATAATGTGGGGTGTGTCTGCTTTAAGGAGCAAGCATACCATACGTTTACGCTAGACAACAACCTTTAAGCTGAACGAGAACTACGAAAGATGTGCGATACAAAAGTAAAGACGAAAGACGAGAAGACTACAAACTGAAATTAAAGACGAACGACGAGGATGAGCAAAAAGCGAGAGTTGGCTTTATGCAGACGACGAGAAGACGGAGAGTTGAGTTCGAGCCTTCGACGAGAGTGGTTCCAAGACGATAACCAAGGACGTGAAGACGAGAGATCTTGTTCAATTTAAATTTTGCTAAAGTGTATTTCTATTTCTAATACTTAATAATTAATCAATAAACAATAATAAACTAAAATACCACAATAATGTAACAAAATTAGAACCGCTGTCATAAATCCAAACAAAAGAAATTATAAAAGCACATACAAAATATAATAATGTATTTCAAATAATAACAGCAACTACTTTTGTAATTACAATCATAAGCATATTATTGTATCTATATTTTAAGTTTAAGAACATACCAATAAAATTAATTGTAAAATATGTAAAATCAAAGGAAGAAACACAAAGAAGTACAGGAATTGTAAACGATCTACCAAACTCAGTTAAGATAGAAGAAAATATAATGTTATATCCAACCCTTTCCACTCGAGGACAGGCCAAATTCAAAGAATGGGGGAGTGACATATCCATAATCCCATATAACTCTCATGCATATGTCCACACGCCCACACACACATACACCCTTAGTCGCCCAATCAGCCAATATCTAATTGCAAATGTACCCAAGCCTTGGACTAAGCCCCCAGAACGAATCAAATTACGTTATCAGTTCGTTCCCACACTTTCGGATCCCAATGAAAAATTACCATGCGAGCAAAACCCCAAGATTCTAGACTAAACAATCGGATTGAGTGGCTGGTGCATTATCAATCAACAATCCAAAGGGCAATTAGAAAACTCACTCAATTAACGCCAACTCCACTCATAGATAGCTCTAAAGCTCAAAAGCGAGGTATGATCGTCAAAGAATTTTAAATTAAGAAGCGAGTTCAGTTTGAGACCTAAAACAATTAGGACGTGTTCTTCCAAATAACAATTGTACTAGTTGATAAATAAAATTAAATAAAGTTTTTTTTTATGTAAAACTTGTGGTACGAATACTTCATTATTTTTTAATTTTTTTAACCCACTCTCGAATCTCACTTTGAATATATTTATACATATCTATATCAGTTAGTTACTGAACCTCGATTTTCGTGGATTCTAGCATTGCCTGCCAAGATAAGCCATATAATAATGAGCTGGTTTAAGAGAATTAATTTGCATGCAGATTGAACGTAAATTTTCGATAATGTCAGTTAATATTGAAACATCGGTTTTTGAATAAATCTCTAGATATGCCTTTATAGATTTTCGAAAAATTGAGTCCAAACTTTAAAGACATGATTATAATCCTTTTGAGAACATAATTTTTAAGTATACTGACTATAAAGCTTTTCCCTTGTTGGTACAGAAGATTTATTTAATCTAGATATTCATATGGGAATTCACCTTTCCTCCGCATAAGTCTAAGTTCATTTTCACAAATAAAATAGATCATACCGTTTTAAGCTGTCCATCCTCTATATTAGATGAGACAAGACCTAGACAAAATGGCATAAGCCTAAAGGTATTTAGCAATCGAATCTCAAAATTGTTTCCTCATTCATTTTGTACTATGTATTTTCCCCACTAAAATGAAGTGCTCCTTGTTTGTAGGAAAAATTTTAATTTCTCCAGGTATAAGAGACAATTCTTTAATAAGCAAGTGACAATAATTCTTAGAAAAATGATTTAAGAAAACCAGAATAAAATTGAATGTTTTTTATTCTAAATTTGTCATTTGTCATTTTAGTGGGCTGCACCGTTTTACCTACCATTATAATGACAATTATCTCGGACTTTATCAACCGCGAAAACCTTTTCACAAATGTGACAATTCACGACATACTTAAAATCATACTCGCCTTGTATTGTGAGCAACTTTACTTAAAGTTTTTTACAAGGGAAGAAATAAAATTTATACCTGAATTACCCCCATTACCCCCAAGTATGCATATAAAATTGGTACACAGAGAAAATTAATCAAGTATATTGCACTCAATCTGAGAATATTCGTACTCAAAAGAGTTAAATTTAATCAGTTTGAGTACAAAACCAAAGAGCACAACAATCCGTTTAAGATTATCACTCTGTCGATAATTTTATTAACTATAACTAAAATGGCAATGGGACAAAACATTGAGATAAATCCGATTAAAGCCCAAAATTGATACCTTGTATTCAAAACCGGGTCAATAGATATTCCAACCAATTTTGAATATCATTATTTAAGCATTAACATAACCAAAACTGAGCAAATATTTCAAAATCTTTTAAAAGAAGCAAATGAATTCAAAAAATTTGCAAATTCGTTATTTAGCAGAAAAACTCAAAAGGGAAATAAATGGAATTAAACTAGCCAAACGTAACAAACGAGGATTATTTAATATTATTGGCACAACTTACAAATATTTATTCGGAACATTAGATCAAGATGATAAGGAGGAGTTAGAGCAGAAAATAAGTAACCTAGCAGAAAATAGCATACAAAACACAGATTTAAATATGATTATTAATGAAATAAATAATGGCATTGAAGTTATTAATAAGTTAAAAGATTAAAAGATTAAGATAATGAAAGGGAACAACAAGCTAGCGTTTTAATATTTAACTTACAACATTTTACGGAATACATAGAGGATATTGAGTTGGGAATGCAGTTGAGTCTTGGTATATTTAATCCAAAATTATTAAAACATGATGATTTAACAAGAATAAGTTCTGAGAAATTGTTGAAAATTAAAACTTATACTTGGCTAAAAACAGACACAAATAAAATTTTGATAATTTCCCACATTCCCACAGAAATAGTAAAAGCACCAATTTTTGAAATAATTTCGTATCCAGATGATAATAATACCATTCTAACAGAAAATATATTTGATAAGTATTACATTCATGAAGAAAAAGTATTTAATAAAGAAACAGGAAAAGTGGTATTCGATGACTGTATAAATACACAAAGCATTTATATAAACAATAATGTGGGGTGTGTCTGCTTTAAGGAGCAAGCATACCATACGTTTACGCTAGACAACAACCTTTAAGCTGAACGAGAACTACGAAAGATGTGCGATACAAAAGTAAAGACGAAAGACGAGAAGACTACAAACTGAAATTAAAGACGAACGACGAGGATGAGCAAAAAGCGAGAGTTGGCTTTATGCAGACGACGAGAAGACGGAGAGTTGAGTTCGAGCCTTTGACGAGAGTGGTTCCAAGACGATAACCAAGGACGTGAAGACGAGAGATCTTGTTCAATTTAAATTTTGCTAAAGTGTATTTCTATTTCTAATACTTAATAATTAATCAATAAACAATAATAAACTAAAATACCACAATAATGTAACAAAATTAGAACCGCTGTCATATATCCAAACAAAAGAAATTATAAAAGCACATACAAAATATAATAATGTATTTCAAATAATAACAGCAACTACTTTTGTAATTACAATCATAAGCATATTATTGTATCTATATTTTAAGTTTAAGAACAT